GAATAAAGCAGCAATGAACACGGATGAGCAAGTGTCTGTCTAGTAGGATGTTGAATCCTTTGTGTTCTCCCTTATTAATTTGAAACAGAGTCTCTCACTAGACCCCAGAGCTTATCTATTAGGCTAGGCTGGCCAATGAGTTTCTGAGATCTGCCTCTGTACACTCACCCATCCCTGTCCCCAGCTGGGGTTACAGGCCTGTCCCTGGCTTTTTATGTGGGTTCTGGTTTTCTGAACTCAGGTTCTTGTGCTTGCCTGGCAGGTACTGTACCAGCCGAACCATCCCCCCAGTCCCCTGATTTTCTTTTTAAATATGAACATCTACCACACACAGAGTCCTGGGTCAGGTCCTGAGGATGTGAAATGAGACAATGAATTCTTTGTGGGTTAATCAAGGAAGCTTCACGATGGAGGTGATGCTGGAGTCCACACTGGAGACAAACAAGAATCCATTATGTGGAGGACAGATTGTGAGGAGACTGTCTCCACCACCCCCATGTGGGCGATTCTGTATAAACCGCCCTGTGTTGACTCCAAGGCTGGGAGTTGGGCTGGAGCCCAGTAACTTTTAACCAACACTGGAATGATTCTGATGCACCAGGAGGAACCCTGGTCTGAGAATGGTGCTCAGCAGCTTTTATGAGACTTCTCTAGTGGGCTGTGGATGTCTCCACAGATCTTAGTCTGATTGGGAAGCACAGAGAGAGAGACACACACGGGGAGAGAGAGAGAGAGACAGAGACAGAGACAGAGAATAAGAATGAATATCTGCACAGATCTTGATTCTGTAGGGAAGTGCTGGGGGGGGGGGGTCCAGTATAAAAGCAGTATGGATCTTGCCTCTATGTGTCTGCCCACACTCCTGTCACACAGGGAAGGACGGACTATATAGAGGGGCCAAGGCCTATCTGGACACTGAATTAGGGACCCTCAGCCCCGTGCGCCTCCCCTTTCCACACCGCCAGACACAGGATGCTTTTCCCCCTGAGAAGATCTCGAACATGCCACCCACAGAGCCAGCACCCACCAGTTTAAAGGCAACTCTAGGGAGGGCAAGAGGGTCCAGCAAGTAAAGGTGCTTGCTGCCAACGCTGAAAACTTAAGTTCAATCCCTGGAACCTAAGTGGAGGGGAGGGGAGATTGCCCTTCGACCCTCACACATGGACTGTGGACTGTGGTGCATGCGAACTCTCTCTCTCTCTCTCTCTGAAATAGAAGAAAATAAATGTTTTAAAAAAAGGAAAGGAAAGGAAAGGAAAAGCAGAAAGAAAACGGGCTGTGTCTGATTTGAGATTTCCAGCAGAGGCATTTGAAGCCAGGCCACTTGCCAAAATGGACTGAGGAGGAGAGTATGCACAGAACACCACACTCAGGCCATGAGCGCACATGTTCTTTAACCTACTTTCCTTCCAGAGTGGAAATGAAGGGGGAAAATTTCCACAAAAAATGTGCAGAGCATAGGAAATATGCTGGCGACCGTTTAGGGGTGTGTAGCCAGGGCCTCGGGCCAGACAAACAGGCACGAGGCAGAAGCCAGAGGCGAGAGGAGCCGACTGCTGGACTTGAGACCAGAAACTGAAGTCTCAGAAATCCACCCGCCCCCACCAGTGGACCCCATCAGACCTGGCTGTACACACAGGTAAGCGTGGACTTGAGTAAACTTACAATCACTGAAGTGTGGAGTTGTACTAGTAACAATTATTTGTGGCACACACCTGTGACCCAGCTGAGGAAGGCTGAAAACAGGAGGGTAGTGAATTTGAGGTCAGCCAGGGCTATACAGAGAGACTTAAAAAAGAAAAAAAAAAGGGGGGGGGGGTCTGCGGAGATAGCTCAGCTGGTAAAGTGTTAGTCACACAAATATGAAGACCCCAGTTGGATCCCAGAACTGGAGTGCCAGTATATGCAATCCCAGAGCTGGGGCGGTAAGGACAAGCAGACCCCTAGGGCTCACCGGCCAGCCAGCCGAGCTGACATGCCACATTCCAGACTACCATGAAGAAACGCCGACTCTTAAACAACAAAAAGGTACCTGAAGAATGACACCAGAGGTTGTTCTCTGGCCTTCACACTGCACCTGCACGTACACAAACACGCACACACACAGAAATACATCCACATAAACTGTGTGAAGGATGGAGCAGGCCACAGCTGAGCGGGCACGCTAAGACAGCAGGTGAGTGGGTGCTGGCACGTGGGTGTGTAAGCAGGCAGAAGATCCAGGTGTAAGAAGGTGAGCAGAGGAGTAAGCAGGGAACCTGGCAGACAGGGGTGTAACGTGGAAGGGGATGCTGCACCAGATGAGATTACTAGTCACGGCGTCTGTAAACAAGCAATCTGATTAGTGCAGTGGTTCTCACCCTTCCTAAGGCTGTGACCCTTTAATACAGTTCCTCATGGTGTGGTGACCCCCAACCATAAAGTTATTTTCATTGCTATGTCATAACTGTAATTTTTTACTGTTATGAATCGTAATGTAAATATCGAATATACAGGATATCTGATATGTGACCCCCCAAAGGGTCGAGACCCATGGGTTGAGAACCTCTGCATTAGTGGGTCAGCATTGGAGGCACAGCAGTGCTTAGCAGCTGCATGTGGCAAAAGGGTAGACATGGGCTGCTTTCAGACTGTAGCCTCACCAAGATTTTCACTTACTATATGGTATAATAATATATATTTTTGAGGCAGGGTTTCTCTGTGTAGCCCTGGCTGTCCTGGAACTCACTCTGTAGACCAGGCTGGTCTCAAACTCACAGAGATTCTCCTGCCTCTGCCTCCCTCATAAATACCTCTTGTATTAGTTTGTTTGGTTGTTTGGTTTGAGACAGGGTTTCAAGAAGTCCAGGCTAGCTTCAAACTTTCTCCTAAGTTGGTAATGACCTTAAGCTGCTGATCCATCTGCTTTTACCTTCCTCGTTCCGGGCTCATAGGCTTGTGCCACCATGATAACATATCAGTGCTGGGCTCAAGCCCACGGCCGTGTGCATTCTAGGCAAGCTCTCTACCAGTTGAGCTACCACCTAGTTCCCTTTCCCTCTGTTTTGACATAGGGTCTCACTGGCTGGCCTGGAACTCACAGAGACTGGCCTGCCTTCGATCCCAAGTCCTGGGATTGAAAGAGGACATCACCATACCCTGCCCTGACACAGATTTCAAAGTATCCAAAATGCTTAAGGAGTAATTATGTATGAATATAAAAATGGTGAAAGATCAGGAAAGAAACACAAATTATTAAAAAGAATAAAGTAGACTATATAGACTTGAGAAGTATGTTAATCAAAAGCCTTGTTCAGGGCTGGAGAGGGGACTCAGCAGTTAAGAGCACTGGCTGCTCTTCTACAGGATCAGGATTCAGTTCGCAGCGCCCACAGGGTGGCTCACAACCCTGTCACTCCAGTACCGGGGACCCGATACCCTCTTCTGGCCATTTTGGGCACTGCATGTAGGAGGGACACAGACATACATGCAGGTAAAAACATCTGTCCATACACATAAAATTAAAAAAAAAAAAGTAAGAAAGAAAAGCCCTTCAGAAATAGAGAGAGGCGGGCAGTGGTGGTGCGTGCCTTTAATCCCAGCACTCGGGAGGCAGAGGCAGGTGCATCTCTGTGAGTTTGAGGCCAACCTGGGCTACAGAGTGAGTTCCAGGAAAGGCACAAAGCTACACAGAGAAACCCTGTCCCGAAAAACCAAAAAAAAAAAAAAAAAGAAAAGAAAAGAAAAGAAAGAAATAAATAGAGAGAGGTTTCAGTTAGCACCAACAACCAAAAGACTCCAATGGGTGTTTGTAGAACATTCCATCCAACAGGAGCAGAATATATATTCTTTTCAAACACCCAATAAATGGCCACCAAGGTCCATAAGCCATGTCCTGAGACAAACTACAACAAAATTTAAAATTTTTTTCTTTGTCACACATTTATTTAAACAATGAAAATTCCCCTAAATTCAACATACACACAGAGCAGTGTAATTCTTTAAAGGTTAATAGTGGTAGAGCACTTGCCTACCATGCACAAAGTCCTATGTCTAATCTCCCAGTAGTATTACTAATAGCCACCCACCCCCAGCGCAATAGGACCAGACACTTGAATCAAAATGCCTGTAACCTCTGTAGACCCAACAGAGGTCAGATGATGAATACGGTCTGTTTGCAGTGGTCAGCTTCGACATGGGCACCTTAAGACTAACAAAGATGTTTCTCAACTCTATTGTGTGCCTGCTTTACTGATTTTTTTGTTCAGTTGGATTTTCAAGACAGGGTTTCCCTGTGTAGCCCTGACTGTCCTGGAACTCACTCTGTAGACCAGGCTAGCCTCAAACTCAGAGCTCTTCCTGCATTTGCCTCCCGAGTGCTGGGATTAAAGGCCTTGCTTTACCGATCTTCAAGCATGGTGTATGGATGTTGCCTACGTAAAGTTTAAGCCCGTCCTTTCCCATTTTGTTTGTAGAGGTCTTTAGCACCTGGCACCATCTGGCAGCTCTTTTCATTCCTGTTGGTGATGTTGTCCAAAATCTGTACTGCCTTCTGGACAGAACTGTGGCCTTCTTGGGTGGATGGGACCGACGGTGGGCAAATTCTCTAGCGCTCAGAGCTGGAGATGAAGGTGGTAGCTGCTGGTGGCTCCTTAAGCCTGCAAAGCTGCAGTGACAATCATGATATATTCCACTCACCCTATAGCACAAAGTGAGGAAGAACACACTGGCCATTTCTTTACCCGGGTTCAAACACCCTCAAGTGTCTCTTCATCCAGATTCTAGAAAGTTCTCCTCTTATTTCTGAATACACATGTCCCAAAGTTCCCATCAATTCCCAGGTCAGCATTTCTCTCTCTGAGGTTGCCTTTGCTGCCTGACCCATCCCTCCCACCCCCAACACGCTGAGACCACAGGTTCTGTGTCCTCTTCAGGATTCACCTATACCAGAAGGAATCTGCTTCCAAGAGTCAGAAGGAATCATTTGGCACACCAGTACCCAGTTAGATAGGACCATAGCCCTAGTGCAGCTTGGGCTCTGACTCATATGGCCTGGTTGCCACAAGGTGGACAGGGAATGATGCTGAAAACCACACTGTCTTGGTGCGTTTCAGTGGCTTCATTGTCCTACTCAGCTCCTCACGGAGCTGTTCTAGCTGCTTGTGGTGAGAAGTACCCTGGGCACCATAAATCTCCCAGGGGGTAGAATACATCTCCAGGCTTAAGCAACTCAGCCCAGCGGTGTGGCAGAGCAGGCGCTCCAGAACAGCCACTGACATGGGATTTCTTAAGTAGCTGAATGTGGTGAGCTGGGAGCAGCTGCTCAGGGCAGGCAGAAAGACACTGAGCTGGGAGTCCACAATCCTACAGTTCTCCAAGTCCAGGGTCTTCAGGGTGGCTGCGACTCTCTCTAGTAGGACTTGAAGGAGCTCAGGATTCATGTTGGTCGGTATGACACCACTTAGGTTCAGATGTTTGAGCTGACGGATGCCTGGACACTGGGTCAGGGACTTCAAGTCTGATTCCGAAAGCTGGCAGTCGGTGATAGAGACCGTCTCCAAGGGGGCCTCCAGGCACCTGAGCACCTGGTCCATTTGACCTTCGAGGAAGGAGACGGAGTCCAGGGAGAGCTCCTGGAGGCACTCCAGGTTGAGAAACTGAGAAGTAAACTGACTGATCAACTTCCTCTTTTCCTCTGGGGAAATGGAGGCAGGCTCACAGATATGAGAGAGAAGGAACTTGGGAAGATTTCTCATTTGGCCCAGGTAAGGAGCAAAGCTGGTCAGGGTGCTTAAACCACACCCAGTGTGGCAGTCTCTTCCTGTTGCCTACAGAACCAGATGTAGAATCTCAGCTACCTTGCCAGCACCAGGTCTGCCTGTGTGCCACCGTGTTTCCTGCCGTGACGATAATGGACTGAACCTCTGAAACTGTAAGCCACCCAATTAAATGTTTTCCTTTGTAAGAGTTGCTGTAGTCATGGCATCTCTTCACAGCAATAAAATTCTAAATAAGGCAGACAGCCTTGACAGTTTGGAATAAACATTTTCCTTTTCACCCACGGAGCATCCATTTCAGTTGCTTTACTGTACCCCTCACATTCACTATGGAGGCCCAGATTACTCAGGGTCAGAGAATCTGAGCTTGCTTTACCCAGCAGGGCTGCATAAGGAGATGATTTGACCACAGACGTGGTTACCAGGTATTTGGAAGGGTCTGCACTTGGCTGTGTGGAGTGCTTTGATCTAGCAAGCCCCCTTGCTAGATGTCCCCCCCCCCCCCACGCCTTGGCATTGTTATAAAAAGTCCTTTTGAATAAATGGAAAAGGCCATTGGGTGTTGACTTGGGTCCTCCCAAAGCTAGCCCGTGTTTGTCTTTCTTCTCGCCATCTAGATCTCTCTACCTAATATTTTCTTATTCCTCTCTCCCACTCATAGGAACCCTTGAAAAGGCGTGAGCTGGCCTCCCACAGACGGCGCCTGAACAGGACTTGGGTGCACGGGAAATAAGGGAGAGTAGGGAGCATTGTGGAAGCAGTTGAGCATGTCTGGTTATGAATTCAAGTTAAGACAGTGGTATTTTATTCTTCTGGAGCAAAAACTGTATATAGATGAAGCAGAATAGTTCAAGTTAGGCTGCAGCAAGTATCTCTGTCTATGTCTATGGCGATGCCAGAGCCATGGGGTGTCTGCAGACAGGGAGTGGAACCAGCCCCAAGAGAGAGGAAAGTTGCATTCAACAAAGCCAGAAGGAGTAGTTGATCTGAAGAACCATCTAAGCATTTTAATATCAGAAGAGACTTTGAATTTTTAAACAGTGTTGAAATTGTGAAAGACTTTAGGGACTTTTAAGCTGGACTAAATAAATATTGCATTATGATATGGCCATGATATGGCCAGGGAATGGAATGTGGTGGTTTGAAGAATGGCTCCCATAGGTTTGGGTATTTGAACATTTGGCTCCCAGCTGGTGGTAGTGTTTGGGGAGCTGTAGCCTTGGTGGAGGAAGAACATCATTTGGGGTGGGCTTTGGGATTGCATAGCCTCTCCCTCCTACCAGTTTGTTCATTTTGGTTGGTGTTTGTGGTAGTATATGGGAGCTTTTGCTCATGGTATTTTATCAAAGCAACAGAAAAGTAACTAATACACTTTGCATTTAGTTTCTGCAGTTCTTTGTAAATTCTGGATATTGGTCCCCTGTCTAGAGTACAGCTGGTAAAGATTTTCTCCTATTTTCTCATATTCTATGGACTGTTTTCTCTGCTAATAGTTTCTTTGGCTGTGCAAAAACTTTATTTTCATGTAGTCCCATCTGTTGACTCCTGAGGCTTGTGATTCTTGTGCTGTGGGAATAAATTAATACAGTCATTATGGAAGTTAGTTTGGAAGGATCTCTCAAAAAATTCAAAAAAGAGAATGACCATATGACCCAGCTCTATCACTACTGGGTATTTACCCATTTGACAGGGTGTGGTGGTTTGAGAGAAAATGGACCCCAAAGGGAGCAGTACTATTAGGAGGTTTGGACTTGTTGGAGTAGGTGTGGTCTTGTTGGAGGAAGTGTGTCACTGTGGAGGTGGGCTTTGAGGTCTCATATATGCTCAAGCCATGCCCAATGAGACACAGTTTACTTCCTGTTGCCTGTGGATCAAAGATGTAGAATTCTCAGCTCCTTCTCCAGCACCATGTCCCACCATGATGATATAGACTGAACCTCTGAACTGTAAACAACCCAATTAAATCCTTTCCTTTATAAGAGTTGCTGTGGTCACAGTGTCTCTTCACAGCAATAGAAACCCTGACTAAGACACAAGGCAAGACAGTGCAGAGGATTCTCCATCTTGTATTCTTTTTTTTTTTTTTTCCAGAGCTGAGGACCGAACCCAGGGCCTTGCGCTTGCTAGGCAAACGCTCTACCACTGAGCTAAATCCCCAAACCCTCCATCTTGTATTCTTACTGAGGTCATTTCAGGTTTAAGTAGAATTTGATCTCCTTAGTAGAAAATCCTATGGAAAATTACCCAACTCTATTCTAGGACCCCAAGGTCAAGATACTTAGCTTCTGCTAAACTGCCTGCTTGTGCAGAATCACCTCCAGCTAACTGCTGTTTTAGCTTTTGTTAAATTGCTTGCTTACATGAGCCCTCCCACCCTCACCCCAGCAGCTGAGTTCTGCCTTCATAAACCCTGTGCTCTGGACATGTGGTGCTACACTTAGGTCCAAATATCTGAGTGTAGTCCAAGCTGGTTGGAGTAAAGACTTTTAATAGGTTATAAACTGTGTCTGAGTGGTCATCTCAGGTGGGCTTCCCATAACATTTGGAGGCCCTAAGTGAGAACCCCAGAGACTGGACCCAGACACTTAGAGGCCTTGGGTCCCACAAAATTGGAGAAAAGTGCATCAGCTGGACAGAACTCTTAGGGAGGGCACATCCTGAGTTGTTCCAGGGCCCCAAGAAAATCATCTAAGACTTATCTCTGCTGAGCATTCCAGAGGCACCACAATGCTGCCACCCAAAAGAAAAAAAAAGGCAAACTGAAAGTCATCTGGTTTGAACACCTCCTAAGGTAAGTTTGATGTGTAAGAGGCACCATGCGGTTAAGAAACAAGAGGGCCGATTGGCTGTGAGTATAGATCCTGTATTGGGGATCCCTGTAATACACCAGTGGACTCGCCTGGTCTGTTCAGGTGTGGGAATGTGTGGTGGGCACCCCTGTTTGTCTTTACTATGTGTCTCTCTGTGTGACTGTGTCTCCCTGTGGGTCTGTGTGTTTCTGTCAGTTCTGTTGGTTGGGGAAACAGATCTAAAATGGAAGGGGGAGTGAGCCACCCCGAGACCACAACTGTGGCCCCCACTTCCTCTTCCAGGTGGCCATGATTTCCCAAAGCTCATAGGCCATGCTGGGCTGCCCAACCAATGGCTTTCTCTGGTGTGGTACTCCCATCCCACCTGCTTAAGACCTGTGCCCTCTTGTTGGGGACCTGAGTCCTTTTGCCTTGGCCAGGCTGCCTAGAGAAGCCCCAAATTTCCATCTATTCTCTCAACTCTGCCCTAGGAAATTGATGTTCCCACCCCTTCCTGCTCCGGGAGCACTTGCTTCTGGCTTGTTTAATCTCTTGACTCCCACTCGAGGTCCCAATCCTGGTCCTGGTCCTGGTCCTGTTCTCTGTGTGGAGGTGTGGAGGGCCTCAGAGTGTGTGCAGGGAGCAGAAATAGATCCCCAAGCCATGAGCTCTCTGCTTCCTGCCTGGCCTGCCTTTTGGAAAATTTTCTATGCACATCAGCTGATTTGGGGTGATTGCCAGCAGCTCCTGGCCACCCTGTTTATAGCCAAGGAGCAAGATGGAATCCCTCTGGAAAGTAGAAAGTTGGCTCGTGGGCTGGGGATACTCCCTGATGCAGAGGCCCGTATAGAGTGGACCTTCCTGTCCACCCAACCCAGTTGGGATCCTAATACCAAAAAGGTAAGAGGTCGCTGGACATTTTTGGTTCACCAAACATTATTGGGAGGATAAGACAGGTCATGCACGGACCCGGTGAATTGCTGGCTGGGTTTTTGGAGACAGACCAGGTATTGACCACCCCCCCCCAGTCTCAGAGGCCCCGACAGCCACTCATATTGCCTTTGTCATGCAGTTGACCCCAGGCATAAGTTGAAATCTCCAGAAATTAGAGGGATGTAAAGAGATGAATAGGTCTCAACTTTTGAAAACTGCTCAGAAAGTTTATAACTGAGATCCAGTTGAAGACAGACAGGGAAGGAAATTCTCCCACGCTGTGATCTCTGCCCTTGGGGAAACAGACAAGAGAGGAAATGAGGGAAAGAGACCAGGAGAGGGGGTTCAGGGACTCACCAGCATCGTTTGGTGGGGCCCTGAGTGCTGTGTTAAAAGTAGACAAAAATGGGGCTGGAGAGATGGCTCAGCGGTTAAGAGCACTGGCTGTTCTTCCAGAGGTCCTGAGTTCAATTCCCAGCAACCACATGGTGGCTCACAACCATCTGTAATGAGATCTGGTGCCCTCTTCTGGCCTGCAGGCGTACACGCAGGCAGAACATTGTATACATAATTAATAAATAAATCTTAAAAAAAAAAAGTAGACAAAAATAACCACAAAGCACCCTGCTTCAGGGTATAGATAGCCTCCTCATAGCTTCTCCCACTGAGGAGGAATGTGGACAGGCAATAGAAGGCCTTTTAGAATGCTTCCAATCCCTGGAGTACAGAGTCTCAGCCAAGAAGTCTCTCCACTGTGTGGCCCTCAGATCACACACCTTGGCTACAACCTGGAGGAAGGAAAGCCAGTCCTGTCCCACAACCATATTTCCGTCATCCTGCAAATCCTCCAGGTGTTGGTATTACCATTGCTGAGACAAAACACCATGACCAAAGCAGCTTGGGGAGGAAAGGGTTTATTTGATGTACACGTCCACATCATTAAGGAAGTCAGAACAGGAACTCAAGCAGGGCAGGAACCTGGAGGCAGGAGCTGGGACAGAGGCCACGGAGGAGTGCTGCTTACTGGCTTGCTCCCCAGGATTTGAACCAGGACCACCAGCCCAGGGATGGCACCACCACAGTGGGCTGGGCCTTCCTCATAGGTTCCAGGACAGCCAAGGCTGTCACACAGAAAAACCCTGTCTCAAAAAACACCACAAAAAAAAAAAAGGAAAAGAAAAGAAAAGAAAAATACCCTACAGACTTGCTGCAGCCTAGTCTTATGGAGGCAACTGAGGTTCCCTCCTCTCAGATGACTTCAGTTTCTCCAAGATCTCACATTAAAAACAGAAATAACTTTTAAAAGGCCCACAGTCTTTACAAATTCAAACATATTAAAAATTCAGTCTCAGCACCTTTAATCCCAGCACTCAGGAGGCAGAGGCAGATGTCTGTGAAGCCACTCTGGTCTACAGATCCAGTTCCAGGACAGCCAGGGCTACACAGAGAAACACTACCTCAAAAGACAAAACAAAACAAACAAACAAACAAACAAATCAGTGTCTTTAAAATATTCAATCTTTTTAAAAAAAAATCTGGGGTTGGGGATTTAGCTCAGTGGTAGAGCGCTTGCCTAGCAAACACAAGGCCCTGGGTTCGGTCCTCAGCTCTGAGAAATAAATAAATAAATAAAATTAAAAAAAAAAAATCCAAATCTCTTTTAAAAGTTCAAAGCTGGGTGGGTTGAGGGGGAAGGCAGGGGGGTAGGAGGAGGGGAGGGGGAATCTGTGGTTGGTATATAAAATGAATAGAAAATTTCTTTTTCTTTCTTTCTTTTTTCTTTTTCTTTTTTTTTTTTTTGTTTTTTGTTTTTTGAGACAGGGTTTCTCTGTGTAGCTTTGCGCCTTTCCTGGAACTCACTCTGTAGCCCAGGCTGTCCTCGAACTCACAGAGATCTGCCTGCTTCTGCCTCCCAAGTGCTGAGAATAAAGGCGTGCGCCACTACCGCCTGTCACAGAAAATTTCTTAATTAAAAAAAAAAGTTCAAAGCCTTTCAGCTATGGGCCTCTGTTAAAAAAAAAAAATCAAAATTAAATTAAATACTTTCTCCAACAGGGAAGAACCAGGGCACTGTCACAATTGGAACCAACCAAAACCAAACTCAACAGTGTAAATAATTCAATGTCCAACGTCTGGGATTCACTCACGATCTTCTGGGCGCCTCCAAGGGGCCTGGGTCACTTCTCCAGCCCCGCCCTCTGCAGCACACACAGCTCGTCTTCTAGTCTCCGGATGGCTTTACTCCACTGCTGCTGCTGTTCTTTTATTTATTTATTTATTTATTTATTTATTTATTTATTTATTTATTTATTTTTTTTTAAGTTTTTTTTTAAGTTTTTTTTTTTTTTTTTAAGATTTACTTATTTATTATGTATACAGCATGTATGACCAGAAGAGGGCACCAGACCTTATTACAGATGGTTGTGAGCCACCATGTGGTTGCTGGGAATTGAACTCAGGACCTCTGGAAGAGCAGTCAGTGCTCTTAACCTCTGAGCCATCCCTCCAGCCCAACTGCTGCTTATCTTGGTGGTCATCCTATGATACTGGCATCTCACCAAGAGCCTCTCCTGGGCTCCTTTCAGGGACGCCAGCCCTGCTACCCAGTGCCAAGCCTCAGCTACTCTCCATGACCCCTTCATGCCTTCAATACCAGTACCACCTGGGTGACTCTTACACTACCAAGTTCAGCTGCCCACAGGAGGTACAACCATGGCTGCTTCTGGAACACAGCTTCTAAGTACTGGTCCTGGGGAAACCCTTTCCAGAAGACTTCATCTCAGTGATGCTGGTCTCTTCTAATCACCAGGAATTTCTTAGCTCTAGACGGCCAGCATCAACTGTCCCAGTAATGCAAAGGTTTCACTTCAGTGGCGCTGGCCTCTTGGTAATCACGGCTGACCAGAAGGACAGCTCTCTTCAGCCCCAGCTGACTGGAACAACCAACTCTTAATTGGAAATAGCAAATGGCCCTGGAAGAGTCTTCAAACTTCCGTCTGAAACTTTACAAGCCAGGTCTCCATCTTCTGCACTGCTCTCAACATTTGTATCTTTCAAGCTCCCCACAGAACAGCTCACTGAGCTCTCAACACTCAGTGGCTTTACTAGCCCTATGTTCCAAAGTTCTTCCACAAGCCTTCCCCAAACACGGTCAGGTCTGTCACAGCAATACCCCACTTGTCTTTGTTAGGGTTACATTTGATGTGCTGAATCACCATGACCAAAGGAACCTGAGGAGGAACGGGTTTATTCAGCTTATGTTTCCACATCACGGTTCATCATCAAAGGAAGTACCAGTGAAGGAACCTTCTGGAGGCAGGAGCTGATGCAGAGGCTATGGAGGGGAGCTGCTTCCCATGGCTTGCTCAGCCTGCCCTTTTTTTTTTTTTTTTTTTTTTTTTTTTTGGTTTTGTTTTTTTTCAAGACAGGGTTTCTCTATGTTGTTTTGGTGCCTGTCCTGGATCTCGCTCTGTAGACCAGGCTGGCCTGGAACTCAGAGAGATCTGCCTGCCTCTGCCTCCTGAGTGCTGGGATTAAAGGTATGCACCACCACCACCACCTGGCACAGCCTGCTTTCTTATAAAACCAGGGCCACCAGCCCAGGGATGGTACCACCACAATGGGCTGGGCCCTTGCTCATCAATCACTAATTAAGAAAATGCCTTACAGGCTTGCTTACAGCCTGATCTTATGGAGGCATTTTCTTAATTGAGGCTCCCTTCTCTGAGATGACTTTAGCGTGTGTCAAGTTCACATAAAACTATCCAGCACATCCTGCTTCCTCATCAAAAAACAAAAACAAAAACAAAGTACAGGAATTCCTGGAGGCAGTTGGATACTGCTGGCTAAGGATAATGGGATTTGCTCTGATAGCCAAATCTGCCTGTGCTAGCACTGGGAGTATGCAGCCTTTGGAATGGACAGAGACTGAGTGGAGGGCCTTCAAAGCCTTGAAAAAGGCCCTGGTATCTGTCCCAGTCCTGGCTCTCCCAGACATTACTATGTCATTCCACTTGTATGTGGATGAGGCCAGAGGCATTACCTAAGGGGTCCTCATGCAAACTCTGGGACCCTGGAAAAGACAGGTGGCATATCTGTTCAAGAGATGTGACATGGTCATTACCAGATGATTGGCACGTATAAGGGCCATAGCTTCCATTCCCCTCCTGGTAAAAGAAGCTGACAAGCCGGGCGGTGGTGGCGCACGCCTTTAATCCCAGCACTTGGGAGGCAGAGCCAGGCGGATCTCTGTGAGTTCGAGGCCAGCCTGGTCTCCAAAGCGAGTTCCAGGAAAGGCGCAAAGCTACACAGAGAAACCCTGTCTCGAAAAAAGAAAAAAAAAAAAAAAAAAAAAAAAAGAAGCTGACAAATCAACTTTAGGACATGAACTGTTCTTGACAGTCTCACTCCATCTTTGGGGTGGACCTCTGCTCTCTTATGTCCCTTCCAGCAGTGGAACGATATACATCTAGGGGAGGGAGAGGAGTCAGTAAACCAGGCTGTGGAGAAGACTGGCCTTCAGGGATTACAATTTCATGCATGCTCTGTAGCTAGAGTTTTCTCTCCGGGTCCTGCCAATCCCCAGCAGTCCGACAGCCCACTTATAAAATAAACACACAGATGCTTATATTATTTAAACTGTTTGGCCTAATGGCTCAGGCTTCTAGCTATCTAGTTCTTATATCTTAAATTAACCCATTTCTATAAATCTATACCTTGCCATGTGACTCGTGGCTTACCGGCATCTTCACATGCTGCTTGTCATGGCGGCGGCTGGCAGTGTCTCCCTCCTCAGGCTTCCGCTTCCCAGAATTCTCTCAATTCTCCTCTCTGTTAGTCCCGCCTATACTTCCTGCCTGACCACTGGCGAATCAGTGTTTTATTTATTGACCAATCAGAGCAATTTGACATACAGACCATCCCACAGCAATGCTCTGCTATGGACAAGGTACCTGCATCATGTCCTCAGATTACCTGACCTGCACTAAAAGCTTGACTAAGTGTGCCTCCTCTGGCTTACTGTAAAGTCATACTCCCACTCTATGTATACTGCTCTGTGTTAACACCAGGTATGTGCCTATAATGGAAAATAGGGGAGTGCTCATACTGGCCTTGACTCAAGGTCAAAGGGGCTCCGATTCTAGTCCTGATCCTAGTAGGGACAGGAGTAGCTGGTGCAACTGCCATAGACCTTCAGCCTTGATGGTTAGGAACCGAAACTTTAGGGAACTCAATTCCCAGATAGACAGACCAAGACCATTTGGAGAATTTTATTTCTGGGCTGGAAAGCCAAGTTGACTTCCTCACAGAGATAGTCCTGCAGAACTGAAGGAGGCCAGGACTCCTTTTTATTAAATAGGGAG